AGTTTCCCGTAAACTAGAAACTTCATTACAATTTTCTATCAGAACACAAGGTCGAGTTTTTCAATATGACCGATTACACATATTACCAATGCACGACCGGACTTTAACCAAGTTGTAATAGCAGACGGCCTAAGGTAAAATGGTCGCCGTGCTAATAAAATTTCAGTCGTGGGTAAAATTTTAACTTTCAAAAAGCAGTTAAGTAGCAACCGACAGAAATAATTTGGTTCATATTTATTAATTAGTAAGATTCACAAACAGAATCAACGATTAAATTCTTAATCTCTGTTTAACTTAAATGATTTTAAATTTTATGTGGACTTGAAGGGGTTATGTTGCCGGGTGTTCTAACGCACTCGCTGTAGATCATCAGGCATATTGTTATCTATGTAAGTCATGGATTAGATCTCGGAGTGTTTTGTTTGGGTACTCTTGACACAAAATACCATAAATACATTACAGTACCGTCGTTACTAACAGGTCTATGGTTTATAAAGACAAAATAATCAGTGTTAATCCTGGAGTAAACTTTATTAATCTCGATCTCGAGAACAGCTTTACACTCCGATCTGTGGAAATATATATGTTGATTTTAGTATTCTGATTATGCAAACGAACCAGACGTTTTTACATGTGACAGGTAGCCACGGTTGCGCAGTATCGAGGGGGGTCGTCCAACAAGTCTAGTTACCAGAGAAAGTTCCTCGGAAAGTCTGTAGCGTAGTGCAAAAAAAAGGGCTAGTGTCTATTCGTTTGGGTGGGGCGTTGGCATGCCCATAAATAAACCTTGACACATTCGGTGAAGAGTAAGCAAAATTCCCCTCAAAGCGCACGGCATGGCTATGCATTTTCTGGTCGTCGAACGGTCTGGCGGGGGCTTAAAAAAAGTCGCGTTCTTAGAGATTTCCAGGTTAGATCGCAGAACCTGGGTGTTTGTTTTGAACATGCTCAAAACAAACGCCGTGACTCACCGATCATTGGCGACCATGGAGACCACAGCACTATAACTGGCGTTTCCACCACGCTTTTACACGTTTATGGCGATCTTGACGCGCTCTGAGACCATTTTCCATCGCCGTAGCAGCGCATTAAGGACGGCACCCAACCGTTAGTGCAATAAATTAGGACATTAAACCTGACGTATAGTTAACATGCGTTTTGTCCATAATTTGCAATGTTATTCAAGATCAGAAGAAAATAATATAATTATTTTAAGTTGAAATAAGTTCTTCCAATTTTAAATGCTATTATGTGAGTATATAGTTATTCTGAAAACCTTATTATGAATTTATATTTCCTTCGTGAAAGTGATAATACCCCTTTAAATGTTACGTTACAAGCATTATAAATACATTACCTCATCATTTGACTTATTACTTATATTTTCAATAAAACTCTCGACGAGCTAAATTTACAGGTTTTGTTTAATAAACGTGGTAGCAAGCAGTCTAAGCGATTCGATAACAAGAAATTAAGACCCGAGGCTAAATTCTGATGACAATCATCGATCGTTTGTTACATGTTTGAGTTTCACACAACATCATCTGGTTATATGGTGTTTATTATTCATACAGACTTGGTTGATATAACGACAATGCAATGATTTTGTGTGGGAAGGTCTTAGGGGACGGGGAGGGTGACATGCTGCTTTACTATTATATTACTTACCATTCCAGGCTCAATGCTCGATCTGGGTGTTTGCCTAGAAAGTTCATCGGGATTTCCCGCCTTGGTTCCCCCGTTTCAGTTGTGTAGGACGGAGGGCCTGGCAAGGGACGACGTATAGTCGTTCGGGTGGGACGAAAACCCGGGACCCGTGAAAACAATGGTGTGTAAATAAAAAAAAGCCTCGAAATAAGAGCAGGCCAGGCAAAATTTCCCTTATAGCACACTCTAAGTATATAATTTAATTATCGTATGTTAAACATAATAAAACACAGAAAGATATTGATCAAAACATAAAAAAGAAACAATCATTTCGTTCATGAATACTGTGAATATAATATTTAAAAAGTACGATAGTACTATGGACAAGAAACTGTACTGATAGGATGTACTACAGATGGTATATGCTTTTAACATTTGAATACTATAAAAGAGCTATTTTTTATTATTTTGATGCATTAGTGCATGAAACATTTAACAGTCTGTTAAATAGGGATGATAATAATTCATATTTATTGATAAAAAGTAGAAGTGGAATGTAATAAAGATAATGTGTTTACCTGTTTTTGCGAGTTTTTTGTTTTATGGTTCAATATAACAAACTATTCTTTATTAGAGTTTAACTACTCTCTATAACACAATAGATGTATATATCAAACCATTAATGTTTTTCTACTCTCTATAACACAATAGATATATCAAACCATTAGAGTTTAATAGATATATCAAACCATTAGAGTTTAATAGATATATCAAACCATTAGAGTTTAATAGATACATGTATATCAAACCATTTGTGTTTAATAACTCTATAACCCAATAGATGTATCAAACCATTAATGTTTAACTACTCTTTATAATACATAAAATATATCAAGCCATTAAACTAGAAACAAGTCTAGTCATTTGTTTTAACATACTAACTTCTAAAATAGTGGCGCTTTCAACAAAAGCATTTCTATACTACCAAACCCAATTTCTCAAAACAACAAGGACGAGCGTAACATATGAACCAGAAACCGAGCATATCGTCACCGCCGCCATCTTAGACCTTATATTAAATACCAAAGCCCGTCAATCGATGCCCAATTGTTCAAAGAACAAGCGTGCCAAGTTAGGTTATTATTTTTTATGAACAAGCAGAAACAGAAAAAGATTACAAGGTGTATTCATGCGAATAGTAACTGGTTCATAAATATAAGTTCAAATAATATAAACTTTTATTGAAACTAATTTTGGAAGACAGTAAACAGGTTGAAAACCCCGAAATGCTTACTCTCCTGAACATACAAATATTTTCTGTTGTATCTTTGTGTAGCTATATTCCCGATCTCTTCGTTGGAAGAGCTTTCAATTTTGGGGTGTGTTTTTCTTTGGTGTTTTTCGTTGGGTTTGTTTTGTGTGTGTGGGTTTTTTTTTGTTTTTTCTTTTGTTTTTTTGGGGTTTTTTTTTTTTTTTTTTTTTGTTTTTTTTTTTGGGGGGGGGGGGGGGGTAGGGAGTTGGAGGGGGGGGGTATATCTAGGCTGTTTGTTTAACTTCCAAGATTCTAATTGTCAGGTGTTGTGCTGTCCTCCTGCAATGTACATTGAAGTTTATAACTTTCCTTTTAATTTATAAGCAGGAGATTCTATATAATCTAATTTTGAATCAGATACGCCATGACTGGGGAATGACGAAATAAGCGTCGATATATAAAAATGAAATGAAATGAAATGGGGTTTAACGTCCTACTGTTCTGCTCCGAACTGGCCTAATGAAGACGGGCATACGCCATGCAGTGTGCTATGAGGGAAATTTTGCCCGGACAGCGGTACTAAGGCCTACTCTTATATCGAATTCCAACTGTCAATGGATCTTTTACGTACACACCAATGTGTACACGTGACCTCGGTTTTTCATCCCATCCGAACGACTAGACAGCTTTTCTTGTCAGACAATCCGTCCTGCATCACTGACAAGGGGGAACCACGCCGGAAAATCTGAATGAACTTTCTCGACCAATGCAGGGATCGAACACCCACTTAGCCATAGTGACCCCCGCATCGATATATAAAAGATCTTATCATCAGTTATATAAACAGTATAAAAAGATTTCTCTTTTTACAAGTCTAAAAATACTTCCATTAATTTTTAATAGATTTAATAGAAGACTGAGGCTTTACAGGAACAGATGAATGTGTGTATTTATGTTTTAAAAATTGACCCGGGGTTTCGATTAGAACTATTTTTATGCCAAAAGTCATTTAGATAAAAAAAGGAACGCATGACGTATTATGCATTATTAACATGACGTTGTTGATACGGAATAACATATTAAAGGTTATAAGAAAAATGTTTCTCAATTTGGCTCATGCTTCAGGGGTTTTATTAAAATGTGAGGTGGAATAAAATATTACGTCATTTGTTCATTTTAAAATTAAACGTGTAGAAATTAAAGGAGATAAACTTCTATTCGTTGGAAAAAAAATGGATAAAAATGAGTCAAAAGGCACATATTAATCTAAAATGAATGTATGTAAACTGACTTAAATTTAATTGTTTGAATTTTTATTGCAATTTCCAATGAACCACGTTCGGCGATAAACATATGCCGTCCAAATTGAATGGTAATCGTTTTCTCTTGGTTAGTATAGTGAACATCGGGAAACAATATTGACGTTTTGGCTCTTCTTTCAGGGACCCCCACTACAAATTTTAATGGCATTCGAGAACTTAGAGAAAACGGCGTCTTAAATATTGAATATCACGTTAAAATAATAACATCAATATTAATTGGGCCAATATTGAAATATAATTCGTGTTTACAAAGATGATGAGTATGGAAAATATTCAGTTAGAGATTTGGCTCCTTTAAAGCTATACCTGTTACTGCTGTTGTAAATTGGTAACAGGATGATTCTAGATTATCCAGACAAGATTACGGACGAACCTCTTAGTGAACACGTTTCGCAAAAAGGGCAAGGAAAGGAAGTTATCTAAAGGGTCAAATCTTTGCCAAACTTTAATAAATACAATTTTATAGGAACGTATGCCACATAATGTCTACGTTATTAAGAGATTTTAAAACCGTAATTGTCTAGACCACACGTCAATTAATCAAACCAAGAAAACGGAATGAAATGTAGTTCCACGTCTCGTCAACACAATGCTTAGGTTAATCTGGGCCTAACGCGTGATAATTACTTATTTCCTATAATTACAGTAAAATTCGAGGAGGGAAGATTCAGAATGGTGCCCAAACTTTATGGAATAGACTTCCAAAATGGATTAAAGACTCTATCACTATTTCTATTTCTAAGAAATCTCTTAAGAATAAAGTTTTTAAATCTGCCTACCTTGACTGGCAGTAACGATTATTGCTGTGACCTTGTTAATCTGTCCATACTTTTTATTCTGAATATTTCTTGGAATTTAAAGATGCATTATTTATCTCCATTAAAAATAAAATGTTATTTAACCTGTAATAAATACAGTGGCATAATAGTAAGAGCAGGAGGACCGGACCACACATAAGCAAAACCCATCAGACAAATCTGCGGACAAGACACACACTATACAAAAACATTGCAAATAACAAACATCAAACGCAAATGTATTTCCGCTAAGGAGCAACAATCGATTGCAACAGCATCGTCCATTTTCTACAATGGAATTACAAAGTTTCCAAAACTCAGACTGATTAAATAATGTTAGTTAATTGAGAAAGTTCAGTCATTAGCGTTTAGCGAATATACTTCCAAAGTGGTGTGATAGCCATTTGCTTTACTCGCAGACTATATTTATTGATAAGCGAGGTGATTGAGTCAACTCTTATGGTAGCCTTTGACCCAAAGGTTATCGCCTTCACAGTAGCCCTCGGCTTCTAAAATCCACATTGCTATAAGAAGTGACAAGTGCCCTGTATGGGAACAGAGTAAGCTTACTCTTTCTAGAAGGCCTAATAAAACTTCCCATCGGGCAATTTGTATTGTCCTTTTGTATAAGCTACAGTTTTACCATGTTATGTGTAGACATAAACCCAGGATGTAAATTGACAGTTCATATTGAATAAACCGAATGTGTGGATTCTAAATTTCCATAGATGGGAATCATTATTTATATAATAACAATATCCATACAGATATTTTTCACAAGAACAGCAGTAATACATTACCTATACATTGATTCTTTTTGTCAGATCTAATCTAATATCGGCCATTACTTGTAATTTACATACGCCATGCTAATTTCGTCAAATAATATCCTGTTGAGTAGGAGTCGAACCACTGATGATAATAATTATGTCGATATATATTGACTTATTAATATATCATTATAGAACTTTACTATACATCATTCAATAACACGGTCATTAAGTATTTCCTAAAGGAACAATCTCAAATATAAAAGTAAAGCAATACTTGTAAGCGATATGAGCTCAACCAAGAAGTTGTAATAGGAGTAAGCATACCTGTCTCGTCCACGACACTTATAGGGATATAGTCTGTGTTTCAAGTATGCCAGATTTTACAGGGCACACCTTCGTACAAATTTTGTATAAGTAATTATATGTAAATCAAACGATTAATGTCGCCCATGGGGGTTTCAGCCCAAACACACCGTATAGTGCAAACTCAGTTCGACTATTATCCATTACAAAGGTAATAGACTACAGATGGATTCTAACATCTTTTCTCATGTATAAACATTTTGGTTGTGTTTTTGTATTCACACAAGGTTTTCTTCACCAGGATCTAATGGATTCAAATATGTTTAATACGATATAGATGCCATTTTGGTTCAATCCCAAGCTAGTACGTGAAAGGAGTGGGGTCGCCTGCCTACACTCCGAGTCCTTCCACTGCTAAAACAACCTTACGCGCAAGGTTTTCTATTAGTGTACCTTTATAATAACAATAATAAATAGTGTATTTTGTGCCGGGTGTTGGTCGAAAGTCAGTTTAAGTAAACTTTTAAAGTATCAGATAAATTTTCCTAGAATACTACATTGACACAATCGTCAGTGAAACTGTTCACACTCATGTAAGTGTTTTTAATATTTACAATGGATTCAATTATGATCACATTTAATGTATTTTTTAATTTCAAAGCATAATATACATAATTCAAGATCTTATCTAAGACTGTGGTATTATGAGACAACATAAATGGAACATAATGGTATTTATTTCAAACTTAGAATTTAAAAGCACATTAAGTTGGATCTATCTGATATAATATGCACTATTTTAATATCATTCCGATCTTATAATAGAGCGGGAGCCCGGGAGTTAACCTAGCTGAAAAGTGTACCAATTTTCTCCTATATTGTGTTAATGCATGTATATCTGGTATCATCAGAATGCAAGTCTGGTGGGTGTGGTATTCCACGACCAAAATGCCATGCCCCACAACTAGACTAGATTTGCTCAAAAGTGTACCACATGAAAAAAGAAAATCGTACAGCAGTGTTCATCTTCAGGTATTACAAAAACACCCTGACAGACATTTCTAGTGGTGGGGAACCCCTGACAGAGCTACGTAATTGCCAAACATTTGTAGTGGTGGAGTCTCCCTGACAAGAGTTATCTCATTTCCAGTCCATAGCTAGGCTAGATTAGCTGAAATCTGTACCACCTAAAAGTGGTAGGTTATCCCTGACAGAGCTATGTAATTGTCAGACATTTGTAGTGGTAGAGTATCCCAGACAAGAGTTTTCTAATTTCCAGACCGCAGCTAGGCTAGATTAGTTGAAATCTGTACCACCTAAAACAGCTTTGGAGTTGTTCAGTACAACCACAGGAATCATGAATGACCACTGCATTGATACCATATAGAAGAAAATTGGTACACTTTTCAGCTAGGTTGACCATCTGGGCTCCTGGGCCCTGTTTCTCAAAATCATAACTAAAGATAAAATTCAAATTTTAGTAGATACTTCAATATTGATTGGCTAAGCCAACATTTCGCGGCACACTTAGGAAGATCTTGCCACGGCACACTGGTTGAGAATCACTGGGCTAAGCACTAGAATCAGTCTAATATAATCCAATCAAATTACTAAAATGTGGATTTTATCTTAGTCAAAATTTCGTGAAACAACCCCAGGTCTATAAAGCCTTCATAGAGAATGTGTTTGCTCGTACGAAAATGGTAACAACATTGTTATTAATTTATTTACAGTAAGATAGCAGCGTGAAATCAGTGGAAACCAATATTAGGTTTTAATAATGGCATGTATTCCGGCATGGTGGGACTTTAATTTCAAATTGCGAATGATCACTATTGTGAATCAGAAGGGAATTATTTTATATCAATAGTCGTTACAGAAACTACAGAAAATATTTAACATTTCTTTTGTTTGTTAATAGATTTTAGTCCTTCTGGTCTCTTTTCGATCACCGTTTATTACTTGTCGGTGGTACCAGAACGAAACGGCTAGCCGACACGCAATCTTGTTGTTTACATTTCCAGTACATTTACCGAATAAATATGGTGTCCTTACTACAATATCTATGGCCAGATCAGTGTTATTTTAACTAAAACATTCATACAATCTTTTAAACACTGTAACACAATTAGGCCTATACAGCGTGTCACGTCTTACATAATACGAAAGTTAAGCTGTCTACAATTAGCTCCACATAGACAAGAAGCTAATTGACAGACATTTCAATTTCTAAATTTTAGTCGAAACACTAAATATACTCTGATAATTTTGAGAAGTGTTTATTTTGCTCCGGTTTAATAAAAACACTGGAGATTTAAGCTGAATTGAATTCAGAATAAAGTCTTATTCCGTATTTAGGCGCCACACTCAATTCGCTAAAATCCGAACTGAATCTGAGTCCGTATATTTTTTCCGAATTCAATCTGGAACAACTATTCTGAATCGGGTTATTCGCAGTCAAAATGTTAGTGGGCGTGCGCTAGAAAGAAAGCTAGAGCGCGTGAGATAGACACCTAGGAGAGAGAGAGAGGGGGTGCTGGAGGGGGGGGGGCTAGAGAGATATAAAAAGAGGGCGAGATAGAGAGAGGTGAAGAGAGTAAGGTAGAGAGACGTCTGCACGATACGACTAGGCTTTGTCCCTCAGGCATATTGCGCGCGAGAGACACAGAATGAGGGATACAGAGAAGATGGGGCTGGGGTTAGAGAAAGGTATAACATCCACTCGACACAAACTAGGCCATTTCGGGACTAGCTTATGCATAATTTTATTTTAATAATTTGCTTGCGCGTAGGGGTCTGTATCAATGATAGAAGGTCGGAGAAAACCCAACGAGGTTGTGCGGGCTACCATATTCTTAACAATGCCATTTGACTCAATTACAGAAGCGTACGTACCCGTAAGACTAATCGAACTTCCACCCCACCGCTAAATCACATAAGTTCGTAAACAGCAGTAAGTATAGGTAGGTAGAGCGTACAAAAAGGTCGTAAGTGACTTCCAGAATTACCACACCTGATAATTGAAAACTTTATATTGCATTTCTAACTATCCCAAATCATAACGTCATATTGTACGAAATATTAGGAAAAACAAATTTAAAAAAATTTACAGTATCATTTTCAAACCTTTAAACCTGATTTTCTCAAAAAGTGAAAAATGTTACCTCTCAGGGGACGACTTGCCTGGCAACCAATCTCTCATCTTTACGCTTCCCAAAATTTTAATCTTAAAACCTGTGACCGATAGAGTATGCTCAACGCCAGAAGCTTATAGCGACTGTAAATAGATTTATAATATGAATAAAAACTTTAAATGTCATTTGAGCAAGCAATTATTGAAATTGGCGAGCTCCTGTTTTTTTGTGAAGATTTTTGTAGATGGTTTTAAGACAGTAAAGATGTTTTATAATGTAATGTTTTAGGAATTAGCATTCAATACACGAAAAACATTATTAACGCATCATTGAAACTATATCTGGCGGATTCTATAATATTTTAAAGGGGAAACTATAAGATCGTACATGTTCTATCATATTAATATCTTTTAAGGTGTACTTTCCTCGAGAGACTAGATTGTTAATACACAATCAGCGATTGGAATTATATATTCGAACTCCTGGGAGTAATATTTTTATGGACCAAAACATTTTATTATCTTACAAGATACTTCAAGCGACGTCTTCGAATTTTAACACAGTGGCCATTATGTAGGATTCGTAAAAGATGATGAATCGACAATGGCTAGAGGTACCATTAAAATACACAATCAGATATCGGTGACATAGCGAGTGATTGGCAAGTTCTGGTTAGTATGCACATGACGCCTATCCATTGTACGTGTGAATAAACAAAACAATTTACAAAGAGCTAATCTGAAAGCTCTGTATTTAACGTTGTAGAATATGGGAAAGTTGTAGTAATATCGGACTTCTTTGTTGTGTTTTCTTCGTGATCGTAAATATAACTACAGGTTAGGTCGTTTATACAACTTTATTATTAAAACCGCTTGGCATCAATGTTCCCCGTTCT